TCTCCAGTGACCCAGGTGCTTGGGGGTCTCCTGCACTTCTGCAGAGTTCCTGTTGTGCTGCACAGCCAGAGGTCTGTCCTGCACTGTCCCAGCCCACCTGCTGTCCCCCCCCAGGGGACATGGGCACTGACCTGCCTCTGAGGCTGCACAGGCAGGTGAACATCTGGCCTGAGCACTGCATTGGTCAAGGAGTTGGGAAAAAGCCCTTCCAAGCCCAGAGAGGCTCCTGAAAGTCTCAGACGTGTTTGGAACTCCCACGTCAGTATCTCCATAGACAGTATCTTCTGAAATTTAGCAGCACGGGATGAGGAATTCTGGAGAGCATCTGCACATTGCCCAGCTGCAGACAAAGAGCAGAGGCCAGTGCCCAGAGCAGTGCTCCCCTCCCTGAGGCTGCAGAGGTCCCAGCTCCAGCCCAGTGGAGGCCACCAAGCCAGCAGGAGGGTCCCCACGTCTCCTGGCTCCCCAGTGACCCCTGACTCTCCCTTGGCTGCCTAGGTGATCCACCGCCTGCCCATGCCCAACCTCAAGGACGAGCTGCATGCCTCGGGCTGGAGCACTGCCTGCACCTGCCCTGACACTGCCACCAGGAAGTGGGACAAGCTGGTTCTTCCCTGCTTGATTTCTTCCCGCATTTACGTGGTGGATGTGGGGTCTCAGTGCCGGACTCCCCGGCTGTGCAAGGTACGAGGGAGGTGATTCCAAGACAACGTTCTGGGAAGGAGTTGGGAACTGCTGCTTCTGGAATAAGGCCCGAGGAGAAGGGTTCTCTCTTCCTCTTCTCTTTGCCCTGGGTTTGGAGAGCGGGGTCACGTTTCCCTCTCAGCTCTCTCCTCCTCAGACCCAGGAGGGCTCCAACCATCATCGCGCTCCTTTCTCTCTGCCCGTTTCATTCCGGGGGTGCCCAGTGGCTGGAAGTCATGACCCCCCCCCCAGCCTGCCCCCCAGGGAGGTGGGCAGAGGCTGTCAAGGGTTGCTGCCTCCCTGTGCTCTGGGCAGAGGGCAGCTCAGAGGGGTCTGTGCTCCCCCAGGGAGGGGCAGGCTGGAGCCAGGGGGATGCTGAGAAGCCCCTGATGGCCCAAGGTTCTGCCCGGGAGTGCAGGGTGAGCGGAGCAGCCGGAGGCTGAGGGGTGTGTGTCAACTCCTTCCAGATGATTGAGCCCGTGGATGTCTTCTGGAAGTGCAACAAGGGGTACCTGAACGTCCCGCAAAGCCTGCCCAACGGGGACATCCTGATCGCCAACCTGGGGGATCCCGCGGGCAACGGAAAAGGTGCTTTGCCCTGCCCTGAGTCCAGGAGTGAACCGGCTGCTCTGGGAGGATGAGGTTTGTGATGCAGCCTCCCCTTTGTGCATCCCAGGGGGATTTGTGGTGCTGGATGGAAAGACCTTTGAGCTGAAGGGGAACTGGGAGAACGGGTGTGAGGTCCCTCCCACCGGCTACCACTTCTGGTACCAGCCACGCCACAACGTTCTGGTCAGCACTGGGGGACTGGTCCCCAAAATTGCCTTCCGTGGATTTTGCCCCGAGGACTTCAAGAAAGGTGAGGGCAGAGGGATGCGAGGGCAGAGCCCGAAGGCACCGAGGTGCCGGGGAGGGTGTCCCTGTGGTGAGGGGGGACAGGCAGGGTCTCCCCAGGCCTGCAGGCTCTGTCCCTCAGGCAGCTGGTCCTCGTCTTCTCCCGCTGCTCCCCAAAGCCCTGCAGCTCCTCTGGGCCCGTTGCTGCCACGGCCGCCCCTGCCAGTGAGAGCTCTGGGGAGGGGGCAGTCTCCACCGGGCAGCCCCCTCCCTCCTGACTCGGTTTCCCTCCTCCTCAGGGGTCTTTGGGCGCCGCCTGAACGTCTGGAACTTGTCCTGCCACAGCCTCACCCAGTGCTTCGACCTGGGCGAGGACTCTCTTCCCCTCAGTGTCAAGTTCCTGCACAACCCCGAGGCAGCCGAGGGATACGTGGCCTGTGCCCTGAGCGGCGTCGTCTACCGCTTCTGCAAGTGTGAGGTGAGTCCTGCAGGGTGCCCGGGGCTGCAGGGGCTGGGCCCGTGCAGAGGGGCCTGGGGGAGCAGGGAGGAAGGAGGAGGCGTGTGGGGAGGGCAGAATGCAGAGCCTGCTCTGGGCTGCCCGCTGGAACGGCCGCGCTTCTGCAGCAGGGAGACAACTGGGCAGTGGAAGAGGTGATCCGGATACCGGCCAAGGACGTGCAGGGATGGATCATGTGCAAGATGCCAGGTGGGTGAGCCCTGGGCTGCTGGTTCCTCCTCCCTGCGGGCTGGAGCGGGGCCTGGCGCTGCCTGGCAGAGCCCAGCGCTGCCCTCAGCGCCAGGGAAGGGCTCTGGCAGGGCTGGGGGCTCCACAGGCACAGAGCCAGGCAGAGGGGGGAGCTGGGGCCTGGAGCAGGGCCCCTTCTGTGCCCCTGCTGCCCTCCCTGGAGCTGCTGCTGCCTGTGCCCAGCCTTCATCGCCGACATGGTGATCTCGCTGGACGACAAGTACCTGTACCTGAGCAACTGGTTCCACGGGGACATCCGGCAGTACGAGCTCTCCAAGAACTGCAAGCCCCGGCTGGTGGGACAGGTGAGGCAGGAGCAGCGGGGCCGGCCCTGCTGGGCCCCTCAGCAGGCTCTGCCGGGGGGTT